ACGGGCAGCCAAGACAGTAACTTAAACCGGCGCACGACATTGAACACTTACGCTGGATCTCGTACTGATGAGACAAATCTACCGGTGCACCGTAAGAAACTACGACACGTTCAGTTTGATAAGTAATGCAATTTGGTTTTTCAGTACAAACCACAGTTCGGGTCTGACTGCCCGATTGTGATCGGCTTTTGTAGACGTTCATTTACCGTCGGCTCTCATGCTGCTCGCAAGGGTAAGTTCTACTCCACCCCAGGGGACGCTTCTATTTGTCTCTCCTCGCAAAACGCTGAAGAAACCTTCAGTTTGATAGAGGTTTATCCTCTTCCTTTACAATCCACAATCGGAAAGCCACTCGGCTAATCCACGGTCCCATCGTCACTTCTTAATCACAAGCCCATCAGTGGGTCGTCGCTTTATAGCAGTCGCTGAGTTCAACCATGATTAGGCTCGTCAGGCATCGTCAAGCATCGACCTACGGCCGTCACGCTCATTGGCTGTCAACCACTTTTGCCAAATAGTCACTCTCAACTATCCTACTGAGCACATTTTTTCGCTTTTCCCAAGAACATCGACTGCTCATCTCGTTTCGAACTTCATATTCAAGAGCGAAATTAACCGTGTCCCCACCTAATTGTCTATACCAAACACCCACCTAACTTCAGCCTAAATGAATCTATTCGACTTCGCTCCTACCAATCAAATCGTTATGCTCCTCTACTAAATATATTACGTATACCCATCGAAACTAAATATCTGATAAAGCAAACTGGATGCGAAAGATTCTGTGCACTAGGTAAGGAAAAAACATGTGCACGTTACTGATGGACATGGTTATAACAAAAATCATGCATCGCCAGTATGGCCTCACATGTTGAGGCCACATCGACACGAAGGTATTTAGAGGAAACTTGCTTCATACTAAATTTTCGGGGCTATGACATTTCTGAACTCAATCCACCGATCTTGTTTTGCAGTCTACCATAACAGTAGATACTACGAGATCTTTACCGACTGCAAGCAACCAACGAATTCGATGAGAACAAGAGAGGAATCCGGAATATTTATTTGACATTTAGGATTCGATAGTCTCTTCGGTGTACTTGTTCTTATCTTCCGCAGTCAGCTTGCCGGCCGCCTTGCGTTCCAACAGAGCTCTCCTATCTTTGTCAAGTTTGAGCTTGTGGATAACCACCTGTATTGCACATTATTAAACACGACAAAACAACTTACATTAGACGGATGAATGCCGATATGCACGTGTACACCGTTGCTCTTACGACACTGTATTCGCTCGATGTGGATCACATACTTTTTACGGTAAACTCGAACAACTTTCCCAGAAGTTGAATCTTTGCGTTCTCCCCGGACGATCTGCACTTCGTCACCCTTGTGAATGGGCATACTGCGGACTTTATACTTAGCTCGCAGTTCCTTCGACAACGGAGCGCTCATTAGCCGCCGACGAATGTGTGAAGGAGCATTGAAATATCGCCGGCGTGCCTTTCGACGTGAACTACTGACGTGCTTGTTCAACTTCATACTAACCAGATGTATGCGAAAGCAAACCAAAAATTTACCTGGGGATGCAGATACGGCACGAGTGGCGCGTGGGGATCACCGACGGTTCAAACAAAAGTGCTCAAGGTCATTTTTCTCCACACTCATGTGAGGTCAGGTCAGATTGCACAGGACTGATAGTGGCCACAGGCCAATCACGGGCCCAGAATTCCTTCGGTGGTATGCCCTCGAGTGTGCGTCCACCTCTGTGATTGATCGGTTTCTCCTTCTATCTGCAAACAGAGAGA